TTGGCACCATCCATAATCCACACGGAGCCGCTTCCTGGATACTGGTGTACAGTCTTTTCCGAATGCGCATGTGCACGGCAGCACTCAATAAACTTAGATCGGTCAAACGTTCCATCCGTGTGAAATGTTTCCACGAGCCCATCCACAGATAAGAAACACAGCAAGGAAACCCGAGCTTTCCTATTAAACTCTCCACGAAACGCGAGCTTCTTTCCTTTCAAACAGTAGCCTCGCGAACGCAGCATGCCCCTGTTGTCAAAGCTGACTTCGTCGAGGAACTGAATGTTCATTTGACACCACTTAATCGTGCTCAGCTCCAGCGTGAAGCGCACAATATCGTTGATCTTGATGTTCATCGCACGTCGTTCGAGAACCTTCCATGTGAGCCCATGCTGATGTAAGGCCCTCCACACCGTTGAGATCGAAATGAAGCGTGCGAACTGTTGCTCAAACGCAGCCTTCGCTTCATCGAGAAATGCAACCGGGTGCATCGTGTAGAAGTCTAGCAACCACTCCCGCTGTTCTGCTGTGAGCCGACCGGTCTGCTTTGTAGCGCGGCGCTCGTAGTCGTTGTCAGCCTCGAAGCGTTGAATCCAGTTCGAGATGGTGTTAATGTGCTTGTGGTAGATCGTTGCCAGCCGGTGTTTCGACAAGCCCAGGTAGAAGTAGCCGTACAGGGCGTGCATGATGGTGTTTCTGGACGCGTGACGCCCATTGACTGCCTGCTGTATGCTTGCCATTGCCGGTATGAGTGGCGGGCGTTTGGAGCCTTCTGACTGGCTAAAAATAGCACGAATCGATTCGAAATCGATTCGCCTAAACGATTCGATTCAGGCTATTCTCACAAATTCGAATGAAACTGACAATACTTCGCATCAATTTTTTGAAATACGGTTATTTGCGCCCGAGGCTTTAGGGCGCCCTAACGCTTGCAGTTAAGGGCGCATAAGTGGCTTAAAGGTGCTCCAAGCCTGTCGTGTTGTTGTAGTTAAGGGTGCACTAACGCCATTCGTCGATTTGATCTTAGAAATGAGTGGCCAATCCATATGAGGATGAGGTATACGTGTATCT